CCCGTGCTCGTAGGTCTCCCAGACTTGGAAAACGTCTAAAACCTACATTACTACCTCCTAATATCAGTCAAAATACCTCAAATTCCTTTAAGAAGGGCGTTCAGCTCAACCTGTTCAATTAATAAGATATACGATGTGTCAGACTCAATGCACATCGTTGTAGGGCGTGTAACACCGTCTGTGTGTTTCTTTACACGAACTAAACTGACGCCAAATGTAAAATCGTACGTTATATATATAGACAGGGTATAGTTGATAGAAATCCGATGGATAATTGAAAGGCTCCGAACACAGACACTACTAGCATCGCCTCCTTTGTAAGTGGTTTTATGCAGGTGAGGTCTAGCTGGGCAGATGGTGCAAGAAATCCATTAAATATCGATTGTGATACGGAGATCAATGGATAACACAAGCAGTCCAGCTGTGAACTGTATAGTCTGTATCAGTAAACTGACATTGCATGAACTGTGCATGTACATGAAAATGTTGGTCATCCTGGGAACACTCCTCTTGGCAAGTCAACAGATACGGGGCACAAGGGGTTTGTCTCTTAACTTCTATATATTCTCTCTGTATGCCCCCCACCCCCCTTCTCTCTGTGTGTCTCGCCCCTCCCTCCCTGGGCATCCCTCTGTCTGTCTGTCTGTCTGCCTCTCTATCTATCTATCTGTCTATCTATCTATCCATATTTCTATCTATCTATCTATCTATCTATCTATCTATCTATCTATCTATGTATCTGTCTGTCTGTCTGTCTGTCTATCTATCTATCTGTCTGTCTGTCTGTCTGTCTGTCTGTCTGTCTGTCTATCTTTCTGTCTGTCTATCTATCTGTCTGTCTGTCTGTCTATCTTTCTGTCTGTCTGTCTGTCTGTCTATCTATCTTTCTGTCTATCTATCTATCTCAATCAACTATCAACAGGGCGATAATACAAACGCGTGTTTCCATATCTGCTCTGTCCATGGTCTACCCATTCTACATCCTGTTATGAGCGCCCAGAGATTCCACACCCACCCATAAACAGAAACAAACAAAGTATTGTTTAAAAACATCTCAGCCCCAGGGTCAAGCTAACTGGTGAAGCAGAAACTTGTCTGCATCTATCGTGTGATCAATACTTGCTATATGCCCACAGGGTTACCACATAACTGTGGATGAGTTGATTCGCGCCCTATTGCCAAGCTCCGTGTCGACATGTTGTCGATATGCGCCACTTGACACGCCGGTCCATACCGTAAGTAGTCCAAATGTAGTACAAGGCCAATCGAATCGATTAATAGAGGTCTGTCAGAATGTTCTCAGAGTGGCGTCCCTTAGTTGTAACAGAATCGTCTTTCATCTACTTTGAGGTGAGGTGTGGTGAAATGGGGTTTAGGTGAGGTGAAATGGGGTTTAACGTCGCGTCCAAGATTATTGCACTTATATAACGACGTGCGTGTACGTGTACGTGTGTGTGTGTGTGTGTGTGTGTGTGTGTGTGCTTGTACTAACCCGGACTGATGCCGATTTCTAGTGCTAGCACACAGAGATACCATGCCGCAGTTTAACATGAATACCCCACTCAGACACAGTATACTGACTCCGAGCCGACCAGTCCTTGTTTTAGCCCCTTAATGCCGAGCGCCAGACGGGGTAACAACTAGTACCACCTTTTAACGTCTTTTGGTATGACGCGGCCGGCGATCGAACCCCGGACCTTCCGCTCTCCGGGCGGACGCTCTACCACTAGACCGGGTCTCATCTACTTTGAACCTGACGTAGTAACTTAAATAACATCTAAGCAGAGAAGCCCGCCTTTAAACACATGTTGATATTATCTCAGTTATATATCTTATGTAAAACGCGATAATCGTCAAGGTGTACACAGGGAACCCGGAAGGCGAGGATTCAGTAATGGCATATACACTTGGCCCACACATGGGTGATACGTGTATGAAAATCTATAAACATTCTACACTTATTTGAAGTGAGTATTTGGTTTAGCTATTAATTATTTCATCTATATGACGGCGGCCTCTATGTAACCGAATCTGGACCAGACAAACCTGTGGGTGATGTAATGAGCAATTGCAACGTGTCGAGGTATGAGGATACGTTATCACCAAAGTCACTGAGCGTCCCCCCTCGATCCAATGAAGAGATGTGGGCCTCTACTGACCCGGTTCCGACGGCGGGGTGTGTGTGTGTGTGTGTGTGTGTGTGTGTGTGTGTGTGTGTGTGTGTGTGTGTGTGTGTGTGTGTGTGTGTGCGTGTGTGCGTGCGTGTGTGTGTGTGTGTGTGTTGAGGTGAATAAAGTGGATACGGTGACACTGCCGCTGGCAGCACGTCGGTACGACTTTGACAACACGGTGACTAGTCCGTGGCAGTTGATCGTATCGAAGGGGCACAGTGTGGATGACCTGACATCTATAACCAGTGTCGTACAGGGAATATCACTCACTCATTCACGTGATGATGCAATGCAATGCTGTTTTGTTAAAAAGTACCAAGTACCGTGCCGAGTCAAATATAGCTATTTTTTACATCAAGGGTTGCGGGTTGTTACGCTTAATGTAAACACGTAACCCTTAATGTAAAAAAAATTATACATTAAGAGTAATTTGTACATTAAGGGTTTTACAAAGCTTCAGTTTCGGAAAGATAAGTTAAGCTTTTTAATGTCATGGAGACCGATGATGTCAAAGTGATATGTGATGTACCTTTATTGCGGTGATATCTCACTGGAGGACTGTGTAGGATAATTAGATGTACTCTTTCCGTCCTGCTGTACAGCACAATCCGTCAAATCACTAACTCTGTACATCAGGATCGAATTTACTGTCCCGAATTTACAACAGATTCCCGTGTAGTCGGCATCATGAGTACTAGCATCATTGGGGACACTTTGACATTGTAAGCTGGGCAGGTGTATTGTGCATGTTCAGAACGCTGATATGTTTAATGCTTGTTGATTTCATTGCAGGCCAGTAAAAATAGGAACAGAAACATATCTCATTGCAATTAATTGTATTCAATGATCACGGGTGTATATACACAGCAATGTTAACCTAGCGGTGATGAGCAGATTAAATAACAGCAGTGCTTGGATGTTTCCTAGCAACTGAAAGGTTAAACAACGACATCAAGTGTTTTCCCAATATCTATAGCTAACGTTAGCAACTGACAACACACGATTTATCCCCGGATTAAAAGAAGATGGTAGTCTGTTGTGTATTGAGTGTCCGAATTTCACCAACACTTGATGACACAGCGGAGAATTGTGTGGAGGGGAATGGTTGATGTGATTGTCACATTGTGTTATGAGCATCTCATTATGATCTTCAAATAAACAGTCTAGTTTCCCAGGTACTGCGTTAATATCACAATCTACGCGTATGCACACATCGAATTAGATGTATAAATGATCAGGATTGTTTGGTTGTTTCATGTTGTTTAAGGCCGCACTCAGCAATATTCCAGCTATATGACGGCGGTCTGTAAATAATCGAGTCTGGACCACACAATCCAGTGATTGACATCATGAGCATCGATCCTAGCAATTAGATACGATGACGTGCATCAACCAAGTCAGCTAGCCTGACCACCCGATCCCGTTTGTCACCTCTTACGACAAGCATAGTCGCCTTTTACGGCAAGCATGGGTTGCTGAAGACCTATTCTACCCCGGATCTTCACGGGTCAAGATCAGGTAATGTCAGGATAAATTGTTTTCACCTCGGTGCGACTAGTCCTATCTGAAATGTTTTTGACATGAAATATCATTTCTATAGCACATCTCATTGGAGGTGACATTATCATATATATACGTTGTAACCTGATCAGTAAAACAGTTCCGCACCAGTGAGTCAGTATAAACTGATAAATTGAATAACGCTCGGTCAATGTCTCCAGCGACTCGGAAACTTCCAACAAAACAGCGTCAGAAACATGAAATAATAACCGATGTTCAAATAATTAAATCTGAGGTTATAAATCTTACACTTGCTTCAACTTGATGCCAAGTTTGTCCGTATTGAAGCTGACGCTGAAAGAGCTGAAGTGTAAGATCCTGTAACTGCATCCCTGCCTTTACCCTTCACGCTAAAGGTCCGGGTTCGATTCCCATCATTGTACGTTCATTGTGCGTTCACTGACCATCCACCAATCTCCGTGAATATTGCTAAACGGGTCATTCTAAAAGACGTTAAAAGATCACGGTAATTGTGCCAAAGGGTCGGGTTCGATCTCCTACATGGGTACAATGTGTGAAGCCCATTTCTGGTGTCTCCCTCTGTTATAGTGCTGGAACATTGGAAAAGCGGCGTAAATTCATACTCGCTCGCTCACTCACTCACTTACATTAAGGAGATAAAACTAGGACTGGTCGGGTCGGATTCAGTTTAATGTAACTGCCTGGGCTATCCATGTTAAACAGCGGCATGCTATCTCAGTAGGCTACTTAAGATTATAAAATTAGATTATAAAATTTCCAAGCAGATCCCACCCCACCACACAGACACCTGTTCATATGTAAATGCAATACTTTTGATCGTGACGTTAAATCCCATTTCACCGCCTATCCGCCCCTAACGGGAATATTGCCTTGGCGACATCCATCACAACATTACCAACATACTTCTTACAATATCGCAACACTGTTCCGATAGCTTTTGTGCAAACGAATATATCACACATAATATACAATATTAACACATAGTATATTCAGGACACATACATAGATTGATCGTGACTGGACTACCTTCAATTCAGGACAATAAATGCTGAAACAATATATAAAAATGTTGACAACGCTAGCGTTCAGCTACAAGCAATGCAAATAGTGACGTTAAACTGAAGGTATGTGAGGTTTCACGTACATCTTTATACTGACTGAGAACATGAACCAGTTTCATTAACCACACGAAACGAGCTTCCATCGCATAATCAACGAAGCACCTGATATTCACAATAACAACTACGTGAATATTCGGAAACAGACTATAGGTCCTTCATTCACCCGTATCCACGTCCTAGCTGAATCAAACGCTTGGTGAATCCATACTCGACTGGCTCGCTGTGAATACAGGGCTTAGCCAAGGCGATTGCTTATTCTCGTTTTTTTACCACCCTCTGGAGATGAAATTATTTCGTGGACCCGCCCAGTTAAACTGACAGAGGCACACTTACAACAGGCAGCTCGGAGGTTGTGTACAACTCTCGGGGAGCGGCGTTTCGGACAGTGGATTTTTTCGTGTTTTGTTTTACTGAACGCTGGATCCGTGGTCGCTGTGGGCAGACGGGAGCCACGAGCAGACGACTTCAGAAGCAGACGATATTTTCGGGAGGGACTTGAGCAGGCGCTTACACCAGAATGACAAGTGAGTTGATTCTGCCATACACTGAATAATGAATGAGGCCGGTGATTATCACGTACACGTTGTTCCCACATGCGACAGGGATGTTTCTCAAAACACACCACAGCCCTGTACATGTTCATATGTTAAGGTTAACACGGGGTAGGGAATGTACAACATTGTACCCATATGGTACAACAAAACTGTTTGTTATGAAGTCCAGTAGGCTTTTGAATTGGGCTCATTATAGAGTGTTATGAATGAGAACCGTGTACCTGTCATTGTATGAAATGTGATCTGGGTTTTCGTGACTATATAAATGTGATGTATGCGTGTATGTACGTTTGCTTAGAAGTATGATCACGAGGAATGTGTAATAATATCGATCATGGCACAAGACTGTCTGTTAGACTGATAAATTGAAACGTATTACATTAACCACTTTGAGGCTTGTGTAATGACATTTCGTCTATGTTTTATCCCACATAATTTGTCACTACACTCGTCTAGTGAGAGCTTAGTTGATTTCTTTAGGGTGGGGCTCTTGAGAATAGTTTTACGCCGCTGTTGGCAATCTGCCAGCAATATATCATGATAAGCCGGGAATGGTCTTCACACACATGTGTACCAATTTGGGGAATCGACCCCAGACCCTCGGCGTACACGTAATCAACAAAGAGATCGCCATCTTTATACATTTCGGTTTTAGTACGTGAGTACATTGAATATTAAAGCTTGTCAGAACTTTTTAAAGACAGAACGGATGAGTCATCCACACGTAAACGTATGCACCATCATATATATATATATATATATATATATATATATATATGTGTGTGTGTGTGTGACGTCATCACAATTAAATGACATCATACCCATTGTAGTGTGTAAGACGAACTAATTATAAGTGAGCGGTTTAATTACACTTTGTTTAAACTATCACTAAGTTAGAACGGGCCTCTTCGGTTTATAAACCAGTAGCCAGTAGAGGAAATATTATGAGTTTAGTTGTTGGCAGAAAGATGTAATGAGTAGCAAGTTTTCTTTCCATTATTATATTTTGTAATATCGAAAATCTAACTTATTCAATTTCCGTTCACTCTAGATCTATAACATTGTGTCGACTCAATTTCAAGTATTGCGCTGATACGTATTCATCTAATCTATCGTTTCGGTTCTGTCTGCTAATATTCTACATTTTACACTTATCGCGTACAAGTCATGAAACAAAAGAGTGTGGTAATATCACGAGACAAGTATGCAAGTGGGTAAGAAAATCCAAAGAAAGCACAGCTGAAATAAGGAATGAAATACCCACTGGCAGACATTTCACAATTACCGGATCATCCGTGTAAAGTGAGTGAATATGTTTTCACGCCGCTTTTAGAAATATTCCAGCAATATCACGGGGGACACCAGAAATGGCCTTCACACATTGTACCCATGTCGGGAATCGAACCCGGGTCTACAGCGTGACGAGCGAACCATTTAACCACTAGGCTACCCGACCGCCCCTAGCGGTGTAAAGAGCTGCAAGATGTAGAATGTAGAAAATGAGCGAACATATTTAGAAATTTCACGGAAACCTTATTCAGTCCAATGAAACACGGGTGCTGTTTAAATCTTCCAAAAATACGAAAGGATTTTTGAGGTACGTGCTTCCCCCAAACACATTGTGATAATATCGAAACAAATAGAGAACGAATGGATGTTTGATCTGTAACTGGGGGCGGTCATTCAGATAAATGTTCAGTCCTTATCGGGAAACAACTTGCATATACTTCTCCCTCTCATAGTTTCTCTCGGTCAAAGGTCAAGGTATAATTATCCCCTTTATGGCCAACGGGGTCAGCAAACACAAGAGCAAACCTCTTTGAAATCGTCATGAAAGTTATCAGATATGTCCATAAGCATTAGGTTTGGTTGATTTCAGTTCGTGTTTGGACCTTACAGATGAGTGTAAAATGTGTCAAGAATGTTGATGGCAGAGAAGTCTCCTGTCTAGTTGGATGCAGATAAAGACGGTAGAAACACATGATCGAAACCATGTAGGGTTACGGACTTACGACTGGGGGCACGGGTGGCCCAGTCGTCTAAGGCGCCGCGATTCGCTGTGCAGAGTTGCGTCCCTTGGACACGCCAGAAACCTTTGATTGTGGGTTCGAATGTACATGTGAACATCAAGGGAAGATCTTGCTGTAGTGAGTGAGTGAGTGAGTTGGGTTTAACGCCGCTTTTAACAGTAGTACAGATATATCGCGGCGTGTCAGCTTAATGTGGGAGGAAAGTGATGCGGGAGGAAGTGATGCGGGTCTCAGACGTTTACCACTTCGGTGAAACCCACGAGCACGGGTATGGTGCTGACAACCCGGGATTCGAACCCACAATCATGTCCTAATAATTAAGAATTGACTTCAATAATGTTTGCGAGGTGCAAACATTGTAAATCCTCCCGCACGAATTACGCCAAGAATGCATACAGGTTTTAAAATTTACAACTCTATAAACGATAAAAACATTTTAAAATAATTTTTTATAGATAATTACGTCGATAGTTATAACTTCACAGACTGCGTATTTAATGATTTACTCATAAAAACTGTAGCAATACTAAATCAGGGACATCGATCAGGGCAACAGTGCAACACAAGCCCCGCACTTTCTATGATCATCCAATCAGGTAACAGTAGTTTGTTATTGGGTGTGGTCCAATTAATTTTCTGTTGATGGAACCATAAACGCAAAAACAATTGCTTGGTTAGACGAACAAAGACACGGAATCGCTTGCAATGTTTAAATATTTAAACATTTACGACAAAATCATTTCCATAACCATAAGGAATCTGCTCGAAGCAGTCAATTGTACGATTCCGACTACATCATATGCATGTGTCACTGTCGATCACGTGTCCGCCTCATGGTGAGCGCATCCTGCCCCACATGTAGCACCCGCCACAAGGCGCAGGGATAGATTTTTTATATAAAACAGTTTTATTTGAATCAAGTTGGGGACAAGTGATACTTGTACAAATATTTGCCCCCCCCTGTCAAAAAAAGTTAACTACGGCCTTTGAGGTATGCTAACAATGTTACTCCATCATTTTAACTGATGTACAATCCCACTTGACACATCCTATCTGTTCGTGTTATCCAGTGAGGAAGCAACATACGTCTCTCCAGGAGGCGAGATGTTAATCAGGCTCGCAACTTGGGGCATTACAGATGATAGCCACTCCTCAACAATCTACACACAAGTGCCATAATGTTAATAACAATGATAATAATTATTTTGAAATATTTTATAAAATATGATTCACTTTGTCGGTATTTGAATAAACTGAAACTTTCAGATTTATGATGGGTCACATTCGGCGTGCCTAAATTTGCGACCATTGATTTATCGGATGTCTTACTGATAAAGCCAAACTATCCAATGTCATGACAAGGGTGCAACGTAGGCTGACTCTAGACGCGAAGAGGACTAACAAACCAAGCGTTCAAGTTGAAAGATAACAACGTTCCACTAAAACAAAACATGCAGACAATTGGTTACAAGAACAAGCACCCTAGAAATAGTTACTGTCAGGGGCGAAACTACCATTGTAGCAGAAAAGCAATGATTACACCAAAAAATAACCCTTAATTTTACTTTACACCTAAAAAAGAGGGCAATTCTTTTTAGAAATAAGTTAACCTCAATATACCATCTATGAAGTTTAGTATTAATTCAAACTCTACACCGTCGAACATGATATGTATTGTCTAACTTTATATTTGATAATGTGTATTATTACTTGCCCGTGAAGAGATCACCCGTTTAATAAACATACAGCTATATTACACATTGTGTAATACCAAAACGCGTGCTTATGTACTCTCGGAACACGTTTCACGAACAAATATTGAAAGCTCTCAACATCCCTTGGCGTATTCTACGACATTGTGTGTGGAGATGATAGATCACTGGGAGGAGCTTATGCACACTCGATGACCCCAGCAACCTTGTTGCTAGGCTGACGTCACATGGCATTGTTTCGCCGATGGATCTTGCAACAAAATTCCACAAATTACATCATCGGGTATTGTGACGTGATTGTAAACTTTGAGGTGCAAGGCCCCGTTCCACAAGGCGATCGTACTCTAGCGCAACGACAGTCGTTAGTCTAAGTTAAATTATGTGAGTTGTGATAGCCTTAGCACTACGATAATTTTGTGGGACGAACGCCTGAATTCTAAAGGTGGACCATTGTATGATATTAAATTCATACGTTTCAACTTTTGACGTGTTTGAAGTATTATTCTGTTAAACTCAATTGGATTATGCCATGGATCGTGTAGGTGTCAGCCTATTTACACTCAACAGTATAATTCTAAAAACATTATAAATGACAAGTAATAAATAAAATACTAAACTCGCTCTCGTGTAAAACCAATTTTATGAAACTCGTGAATAGTTTTGGTATCTGACTCGCTTTCGTTCGTCAGATACCAGAACTATTCACTCGTTTCATAAAATTGGTATTACACTGGAGCTCGTTTAGTATTCTATATTTTCATTGTTGTGATTAAGGTCAAAAGGTGTGTTCAATGTTCATTTCAAAGTTGAATTAAAAAAATTAAAAAATCATTGGTTGTATTTTAAGTTCACCTTGCATTGAGATATCTGTAATGAAACCTTCAGGAAATAACTCCAAGAAATACCAGAAAGTATAGTTATATGAAAATAAAAAAATAAAAACGATACTAACTAGTTTTTCACTCTGGCTAGCAATGATCCCTTTGAAATTAATGCTTCACAAAACAAACCGCGCTCTCACAATTAGTCTCATTATAATGATAGGTCGGCTCGCTTTAAAATATAAAAACATAACCATCACATACTACGAATGGACATGTAAAAACACATACAAGTAATATTATCGATTCATTCCAATGTTCAACTTTTTTTTGTCATCACAAATGTTTCTTGAATGAAAGTAAAAAATGTGTTTGGTGAAACACGTATATAATTACCAATATTTCTT